GAGGAGAAAGAGGAAAAGAAAGAGGAGGCAATGGAGGAGAAAGAGGTAAAGAAAGAGGAGGCGATGGAGGAGAAAGAGGAGAAAGTAACCCAAGAGAAAAAGGTGGAGGGAGTTGAAGAGAACACAAAGGAGGAAATAAACTGTAAGGAGAAAGATGAGGAGAAATGCGAGGAGCCAGTGCAGGAGGTGAGCTGGGATGAGAAGGGGATGACGTGGGAGGTGTACGGAGCTGTGGTGGAAGTAGCCGTGCTGGGCTCTGCCATCCAGAAACACCTGGAGAAGCAGGTAAAGAAGCAGAAGAGGCAATCCTCCATGCCACCGCCTCCTCCACTCAACCCCTCAGCTACACCCCTGACCTCAGAGATAGCCCAGGGGGGTTCAGGTAAGGGTCGTGCAGGGAGAAGAGGGGAGCATGATGGGAAAGCAGGCCGACGCAGAAGAAACCCCTTCCGCCTGCTGATGGAGAACATGCAGCAGCCACACTGTTGCTCCAGAGCTCATACCACTGAGTGACAGGAGAGAAAGTTTACATGGGATCTGATACACGTGGTTGTTATCCAGTGCATCCACTGAATGACGTCGTCTCGATGGTGTGAGAAAAAGAAGGACAAAATTCACACCTTCACTCAAGACAAGCAAGCACAAAAGCATTTAATATGAAGTTTGCACCGAGAAGCATTAACCGCTGAGAAAGCAGCCATAAATTATGATTTCCCTTTTTATCCCCCACACCCCCCCACCCTCGCTGATTGGTATCTTATTCACAAATCTCTCTGCACACACCGACAGAGTGATGATGGACGTTTGGGGAAATGAGAGCGATGCGTCAGCGTCATCATCAGCCTGGCTCTCCTCCTTTAGTGTTTTTTGCTGAAACCATCCACTGACTCATTTTAGCTGTTGGTGCTTTTTTTGTTGTTGTTTTTTCCACTCACCTCACACAATGTGAAGCCATGGCAACCAGCTTTTCTCCTGGTTGCTAAAAAGCTTGTTAAGCTTCGACAGAGAGCGAGAGAGAGAGAGATGATAGTGTAATGACAGGTTTTGAGTGTGATTTGTGACCTGGTGGTCTGGGGGATATTTAAATCGATTAAGTGTTGCCTTGATCTCTTTGTAAGAGGAGTCTTTACTGTCAGTGCAGGCTTTTGTATGTCTTATATATTGCTTTATATTTGGCACAGTGTTTTGACTTGTTTGTATTGTGAAAAGTGTAAAAAAAAAAAGAAGACAAAAAACAAAAAAACTGATGACGCGTACAATCACCTTTCGAGGAAAGTAAAGACTCCTGATATCAGGGTATTTTTAGTCATGAGTGCTCACAGTATTTTGATGCCATAATCTGTGATCCTGTTGTAAATTACGCGAAGGCAATGATTTTAAATGTGTTTTAAACAAGCGGTTGTTACAGTGTCAGTGAATGTCCGTGTTCACCAGCATTAACTTCAGATCCACATTCGAAGGATCAGAATTTATTCATGGATTGCACTTGTGTTACATTCATTTAGGTGTCAGTAAACAGTGAATAAGCTTTTCAATCTGCTGCTTGTTGGAAGTCACTCTGCATGAGTTTTTTTTTTTTCTCTTCATCAAGAATTTCATAGCAAACACTGACAAATGAAACAGGGAAAGAGAGAGCGAGATTTTGTCAGACACACAGTTTTAAATAATGGTTTCATTCATACACCGACATTTTGAAACCTTTTTTGAAATTTATCTGTTTTCCTTGATTTCTGTGTTGGCATAACTTTAAGAAACAGTTTCTTTCAAAAGCAATTCAAACCCTTTTTAAATCACTGCTTATTATAATAACAAAAATAAAGTGATTCACATGTGCATCGAGCAAGAAGTTTGTGTGTTTAACCACTGCTGCTATTCATTTTTTTTATACTGCATGGATTGAAACTGTCTCTACAGAAAGATAAAGGAAGAGTTTGATATTTTTAGGCCATCGATATTGATTTCACTTTCATACCTATGTACAAACTATGAGGCTACAGCAAACAAGCAATTCGCATACTTCAGCTCTCTGACTGGATTAGAATAAGGTCTTTGAAATCATTACACTTTTATACAATTAGATCTTTTTCACAAAATAGGATCCCCCTTTTGGTTCCGTTTTATGCTTGTAAAGGGTGTTTCAAAAGGCTTCAAAGTTAAATCTGTAATACAGAGAAGGCTATTTGAAGATGAAGTCTTCATCAAGAACTATATAATAAGTTTGATTTGGTATGCCTGATTACAAAGAAGCTACATTTGTCTAGCAGAGGCATCTGGCCTTCACTATTTAGATTACAAATCTGTGGTGTCAAATACAGGGTTGCTGTACCCCATGAGGGGGTTGTCAGTGCTTTGGTTTTGGTCAACCAGGGTCAGTGCTTCATGCAAAGGCTCAGTGTACCCCGGTGGATCCTCTTCCTGATGTCGAGCACTTTCCGAGTCAGATTTCGAGTCGTCGGAGTTGAAGCTTAGATGGCTTTGGTGAAAAAACAAAGAGAAAGAGGGAGACAATATGAACAGCTCTGTCACAACATGCTGTAGTGGGCACTCTGTGGCAAAATGTTCACCTGGAAATCATCCCAGTTTATTAACCAGCACAGCTACAGAGTGGTGAGCGCAGCTGCGTTTCACCGTGAGCCACCTTATCAAGCTGTGTTGATCAAGCCAGTAACTGCTCTCTGTAGGCAGTGGACCGATTTACAGACAGGGTTCTTTGTTTCCTTGTTGTTTTTGTTTTACCTGTGTTTGTCATCATCAGAGCTGCTCTCTTCTAACTCGATGGTTGTGTCGATGTTCAGGTTGAGCACAGGATTAGCACTATCAGAGAGAAGTGACACATGTTAGAAGGCAAACTTATACATTAGGTTTCATACCATTGCCTATTTCATTTATCTGAATAAGGTTTTGTCTCCTCACCCTTCCATAGTGTACTTGTTGGTTCCAGGTAGCATAAGACCATTTTTCTGGTTGTCATAATTCATACTGGATGCAGATTCTGCAGCTTTAGCGGCCTTAAGCTTCCTTCTGTAGCTGAAAGGTGGAAGGATGAGTGGTCAGTACACAGACTCTCTGCTGGTCATAGATGTTTGAAATAGTAGGCATCACATTTTCTTACTTTCTGCGAGTGCAGAGGAGTGAAGTGGTGAGGACAAGAAGTACAATGACAAGGCCTGCCACAATCCCCAGCAGGACATATTTTAATGTGTCCACCGTTTTTTCTTCCTCGGGAGCAGTCCCCTAAAAACAGAGGTTTCAGGTTTCGAGTTTCATATGTAGAGTATATATTTACACTAACTTCACAATTTTTACATTTTAATACGGATCAGACTTATCAGACCTCTTACTAATCTGGAGTTAATTGTTTTGTAAAATGAACCAAAGGGATTGCTACTGCTGTCTCCTTTAACCAGATTTTAAATGTCTTTATCCCTGTAAAATATATTTTACTTTACTTTTCTAAATCTACACTCAAAAATTGTTTTTTCACCCTCAATATACACAAAGCAATAATTTTGAGTAAAATACAACTGTAATATATAAAATTTATAAAAAGGCTTATTTATTCAAATAATTTAAAAAATGTGACTTAATTTGACAAGATTCCATTAAATGTAGCATTTTACATTGTACTTACGTAATAAAATTCCATGAAAAGATGTACATGTAAAAAATCAGTTACATTTTTTTTTTATTGTTGTTTTTTTTTTTTGGGGGGGGCGGGGGGGGGGGCTGTTCAACATTTATAGTAAAGTAATTTAATATAAGTAATTTTTCCATATAGCCAATATCATTCAAATGCACCATCCCTTACATACACTGTGATGTTACATACACTGAGTCATTAATCTCAACGTAGTTACGGCTGTTTCTGAAGATCACATGATCCACCTTTACGGGAAATCAAATGCCTTTTAACATTTAATAAATATAAATCCTAAATTATTGAAAATTAGGCATGTTTGTTAAAAGTGATACGCATGAAACAATTCTGAATTTAACCTGCTGGTGGAGCCAGAGTGCTTGTTGGAGCACACATTGAACTTGGTGAAAAGAATCAGTGAACTATCCCCTACCCCTGTGCTGACTCTGAAATACTTTTTATTAAACTGCCACCAGCAATTTATCAAAAAAGAAGAATAAAAAAAATGATGACGAAATGACCAAGAAGATATAAAGAAGAGGCAGAAAAATCTTTTTTTTTTTTTTTGCCGTGTTTAAAAAAGAAAACCGTACTTACAATGTTATCTAGCCCAAGCTCTATCAGCTTAGGAAAGTGTTCCGCATCAGAGAGCATTATTTCCACTTGAACAGAGGTAAGGGCCGTTCCATTGGCATAGACAAAATAAGCTACCACAATAGTTTTCTCTGTAGCCCTGAGAGAACCATTAAAACACACACACACATACACATAAATTAAATCAACACATTTCAGCTGTTTAAAACCTAAAACCTGGAGTTGCTGCCATTGTCATTTTGTCTACATGTGCAATTGCACCACCTAGTGAGGAAAAACAAAGCATAGGAGTAAGCAAGGAGATGTGAAAGGGAACTTACCTGGATGTCTCACCGTTGTAAGACCTAAGAGCAACAATTTCAACGGCAGCCTTAGTGGCAGTCATAAGTGCTCTAAGCGTCCCAGAAGATGACGGGGGGAAGAAAATGGATAGATTTAAGTGGTGACTGAATGAAAATTAGCAGATTAGATCAGATATAGTCTTTACTAATGATTCAGACATTACCTCTTGATCTCAGTGAGCTTTTTTTCAACCTCAATCTTATTATTTGCAAACCTGAGTTCGACTTTGTAGGATTCATCGACTGTGAAAATCTGCAGTTATAAAAAGAATGCAAACATTGGTGTGTGCAGCAAGTTTTATAGCCTGTTTTCAATATACAACACAGGGTAAGCAAATCCCACGTCACTCACATCCAGCTCGGTGCTAGAGGACAGGCCGCCGGGATCAGTCGCAGAGACTGTTACTAAATACTTCCCCTTCAGTCTCAAATCAAGTGTCTGTGTAGATCTGTGGATAGTTGAAGGGAAGCACACCCATAAGAACCATAAAAATGCACCCATGACAATATCATTGTGGAAAAAACAACACGTGCATGGGCTCCTATTATCCCTGCTCAAGTATAAATCTAAATATATAAGTAAAAGTAAAAACACCGACACTTGTGAGAAAAACCAGAGCAGACCAAGTTGTGACTGCAGGAGACGACTTTGTACTCACTGAATAATCCCAACATAGCGGTCATTTTGCTGTGTGGTGACAGCCTCAAACAGTGCCCCCTTGTCACTTATTTCATTGTTGGTGTTTTGGAATTTCACAACTGTCACTTTAAACTCGATCTCACTGTTTATGCCACTGTCACGATCTGTAGCCTATGAAAAACATGAAGTAGAGCATCGTGCTTCATGCATCGTCACCTTGTCAAAATGAGGTCAGGTGTTTTTGCTTTTCAGTCGTACTCACAGTGACCGCTGCAACTGATGTCCCTTTGCTTGCACTTTCTGACACCACAACTATAAAAGAAGAAGAAAAATCAGCGTTGGACTCATATAATGTTTTAAAAATTTAGGGCGATATGTGAAAGAACGTGGCCCTGTTGGTAAGTACTGCAGACGAGTGGTTATTCTGAGAGGACTCACCAAACACCTGACTGTCTGAGAAAATGAATTCTGGGGCATTGTCATTGATGTCTTCAATGTTGATCACCATTAGGCCTGAAGAGAAATGACAGTGAACCAGCTTTTATGTAAGCTGTTTGTTTTAATGGCTTACTCTTATTATCAGCAAACAACCCATTACTGACCTGTCGTGGCGCTGTTGTTATATCCCTTCTCTGTGTTAATGTCCACCACCTGAGCCTCTACAATCGCCTGGTCGCATTTTTCATAATCCACCGAGACCTTAGGGTTGACCCTGACCTCTCCGTTTGGATCCAGGACAAACCAGTCGCAGAAATCCAGGATGTTATTGCATCTGCATTTGACGGATTCCAGCTCAAAGACCAGAGAATGACTCCCGTCTTTATCTTCCGCTTTAAAACTCCCAACAGCTTCCACTACTGTGGTGTTCTCCTTCACTGTCATAGATGCTATTGGCGTGAACTCAGGTCGCTCATCATTTACATCAAGCACATCTACGTCCACCATCACTGTAGCTTTATTTGACTCCAGATCTGCTGCCTCTACCCTCATATTAAACTTTTTGGGGCCTTTTTCATAGTCCAGCTCAATGTCTGGGTCCACAGTGATGTTTCCCATGAAACCTCTTGTGGCAGCGGAGGTTCGAATGATGAAGTTCCCAAAGCTCCCATCAACAATGCTGAAAGAGATGCGATTAAACTCGGCTGTTTGGTCCAAATCCTCAGCTTCAACAGAGCCAACAAATGCACCTGAATGAATGATAAATATGAATTAAAACCCTGACATGCTGTTGTAAACACTTAAAACATTTTGCGGTGTGAAATACTTGCCTTTTTTTCCTTCTTTAACAGAGAATTTGTAAGATGGGGCAAAAATTGTTGGCGTGTTATCATTGATGTCCTGAAATGGATCATAAAGAAGAAGAAACACTGGCAGTCATCAGCTGTACCAGCCTTTACACCATCTCTTGTAACTTGGTACTGTCAACTTGCTAAAATACCTACCTGTACATTGATGGTAACTGTGACATTGGTGGATAGCGGGGGTTCACCCTGGTCTGTAGCAGTCACTACAAGTTTAATCTCCCCTTCCAGCACTGGATCCATGGCCTCACGATCCAGTTCAATGCTGTTTGTCAAAACACCGGTTTCACGGTCTATAGTGAAGTTCTTACTGTATGTGCTTGACACGATACC